TGATTGAGTATTTTTGGCTAAGTACAATGACTTATCAATTTTATTATTCAAAAATTTATTTAAATAACCAATTTAAATAAATTTTATTTAAATATTTAATTTATTTTTTCCAAAATACTTAAATAAAACCAAAATTTTATTTAAATTAAAATGAAATTAATATGTGAAGGGTTATTTGGTAATTTAACCAAAGTATAGGGTCCACATATAAATTAAATGGACTGAATTTGTTAAATTATTTCCAAATGAGGACTAAAAATGTTTTATTGATTTTATAAGATTAAATCATGGATTTATTTTGCAAATAAATCACAAGGAGGGGTGTAATTTTAATAAATAAAATGAAGGTTTGTGTCTTTAGATCTGTTTTGAAAGATATTTTCGAGTGGGGGTAAGTTTTGAACATTTGAATATAAGGTTTGATTACTTAGGACTAAATTTGTAATGATTTTTTGGTTTGGGGGTAAAAATAATTAATTTGTGATGGAAGTTTGGTATTTTAAGCTTTTTGAAGTAATCGCAACAGGAGGTTGACAGCCTTCTACTTCTTCCTCGACGCAACATATAAACAAAAAAAAAAAAAAAAAAAAAAAAAAATTGTGATCGGTCCTGAGGTTATGATCGATCGACGAAAACGATTCCAACAATTTTAAAGGGTGTTTGGAAGGTCACTTACAGTGGTGGAGATGGTGTTTGATGGTGGTGGACGAAGGTTAACAGCGGCGGCAGTGGGGGTGAAGAGGGTGGCAGAAGACCACTCCGGTGGTCTTCTGCCGCCTGTTCTTGCTTACTTGGGTCGGATTTCGATGCAGGGAGTGTGGCGGAGCCTTTGGGGCTCGAATTCAGTAGCAAACCAATCTTGGAGATGGAGTTTTATGATGGTGGCAGTGGGTTGACGGGTGGTGATAGCAGGTGGCCGGCAGCCTCCTGCTGCCGGTTTTCCTTGCTTTTTCCGATGAATTCGAAGGCTGGGGGAGGTGGAGGAAGGTTGGAGAAGACTTTCTTCGAGTTTACAGCCAATGCCGGTCGAAGACGATTTAAAGCCCAATGCAAAATAAAATTTGAGGCCCTTCACCGCCTGCCGCACCTCGGAAAATTTTGTTAAATTTAAAAACTTATTACAATATTTTAAAATTGTTTTTGATCCCTTACAAACTTTGTTTTTATAGTTTTCATTTTTATTAATATAATTTTTATTATTATAATTTCTTAGTTATTATTTACTCCTTCATAAATAATTGTTTGGATCGAAACTTTACTTTTATAAACTGTGGTTGCAAATGAATTATCCATTACATCATGTGTTGTGATTAAATACTAATAATATAAAAGATAAAGTTAATACGATAAACAAAATAAAAAAAATCTCGTAAAAATCACCTTATAGAAGCAAACCTAAACTTAGCATAATCTAATTGATTAAATCAACAACATGCATAAAAAAATGACGTTTTGTTGTTGAATCAGAATTTAATCTCCTTTCGGAAGCTGTCGACATGAACTAATAATATTCCTTTCATCATTTTTTATGATCTTTCTATTTGAATTTGTATAACAGGATAGGAAATTTTGCTGCTAAATCGAAAGTTTTGATAGGATATATTTGTAGAGTGCACTTTTGAAAGAAAAAGAGTAAATTACACGAATGGTCCCTATGGTTTGGAGTACTTTATGCGTTTGGTCCCTAACTTATTTTTTTAATTTGGAAGGTCCCTACTCTTTGTTTTTGTTACGCGCTTGGTCCTTACTGTTTATCTTTGTTACGCGTTTGGTCTCTATCTTAACTAAAGAGACTATTATTTAAATAGGGAAAAATTGTGGGGTAGGTAAGGTAAGGTGAGGGGGGTGGGGTTGGGAGTGTGTTTATTTAAATAAATTAAAAAATAAGGAAAAAATAGTTTCTTTAGGTAAGACATGGACCAAGCGTGTAACAAAAACAAAGAGTAGGGACCTTCCGATTTAAAACAATAACTTAGGGACCAAACGCGCAAATTACCCTAAACCATAGGGACCATTCGTGTAATTTACTCAAAGAAAAAAAGGATATGTTTACACACATGGAATTTCAACAATTTTTGCTGGTTGATTTCTTCCCATTTTAGTGGCTCCACGTTGCATTTTTAGAGGGGCCTTAACATTTGAGTAAAATATATATATAAAAAAGGATCTCTTCTGGAGTTGTAGAAGGTTTGAACACGGAACGCCAACTACATCCATTTATGCGCTTCAACCAGATGAACCACAAGCGCCTTTGTTTATTTTAGGGAAAAATATATTTTTTATCATCTCAAAACTATATACATAGTACTTGGGGCCCCGAGATTTGGCGAGGCCCGGGGCGGTCACCCAGCTTGCCCACCCTCTAGGGTCGGCCCTGTTTACAGCAGGTGATGGTGAGGTTTTGAATTTGGAATAAGGGTGGTGTAGTGGTATACAGAGAAAGGGAGACATAGAGTGTTTTAGAGAGAGATATGGAGATCTTAGAGATGGAGAAGAAAGCTGGAGGTTGAAGTGTGATTTTGGTGGTGGTGTGAGCTTCCTTTTATAGTTGAAGTCCCCACACACAACACAAGTGAGTCATACTTCCAACTCATCTTGTACTCTTTTAGTGAAACTTAGCATACAAAGAAGGAGAGGGGCATGGGAAAGAAAACGTGGGATGATACAAGGAAGAAAGAAATCAGATTTTTGGGCTTCTTAAGTCACACGTGGGCCCTACATGGGGTTATACCCCATTAAATGTCCAAAGACACTCCAAATCGGGGTGTGTTGGGATCCGTGCATCGATAATTTTTTTTGAAATTGCCGTTAGATAGAGTTTAATTCAAAGATTCTGGAACATCAAACGGGTAAATTTTTGGAGTTACGGATCTCCGGGAAATTATGTTTGAAGTTTCGCGTCTTAACGGCTCGCGGTGTCCGTGTTCGCGACTTTTGTAAATATTTTCGTAAAAAATATTTCAAGTGTGAAATTAAATAATAAACTATAACCTGAGTCCAAAAAGGCTCTCGGAAATTCCGTCGGCAAAGCGTAAGTGCCTCAACGGATCGATTCGGTTTTACGCGTTTAAAAAAAACAATGTTTTACTGTTTGTTTTCTTAAAACAGTCGTATCTTTTGCATACGAACTCCGTTTTGGACGTTTTTTATATTTTCGGAAACAGGGGAACATGTACTATCATATTTTAATGTTTTTTTGATCAAAACTGATTATTGCAAAATTTCAGTTTTTCAGACGCATTAATTAACGTTGCCGTTTGAGCGTTTGATTTGGTTGACAGTTTACATATTTAGAAGTAAGGTATCATCTGACATAATGTAACAATTGAAATAAAATTATTTATTTTACTTTACATGTACTAAAACTCAATAAGTCAGATTATCACGAGATTCACGGTTAAATGGCCGGTTATAATTTTTGGCATAAATTCTGGGATGTCACAATTATGCTCTTACCAATTGCGACTGGGATGCTGAGGATCACAATTAAGATGTGAATAACCATGCAAAACTACTTGATAACCTTAAGGTCATTTATCATCTCAAAATTGTTATGCCAGTAAACCATACACGATCCATCAACAATGATAATTTTCGATTTATCAATCAATCAACTTTATAGTCCCAAATTAATATTTCGGCTAACTACGTACGCTCCACTAACGACATATAAAGAGTGATCCGTGTTTTCATGGATTAGTTTTGTCCTAAAGTAACTAGAGTTGGGATGTATATAAAAGGTTCTAGTACTTTAATAGCATTATACTTTTACCAGGTTATGTCCTATCAAATCCATTCGGCTAACGACCCTCCACAAAACAAGGGAGCGGTGGGTGAGAAACTGAGAATGGACACCCATTCAACGGTCATTTTATAGGTCATTTCCTAACACCCCCTTTATAGTATGTCTTTGTGAAATAGGCGTACTATGGATTTGACTGACTTGTCTTATACATATAATATATTAAACTCTTAATCCTATATAGTATAAGGTGTATTGATTAAAGTTAATTTTCGAATTATACTTAATAATTAAGTAGGTGTGGAACCCCGCTATGCAGGGTGTGGATTTGTCAATACTTTTGGTCGTCTCACAGTGACTTACATGTGTTGTGTAGCCGAGAAGTCGTGTGTGCTTTGTGGTATCAATATTGTAAAAAACGTAAAGTTATAGGTATATATAGTTTATTGTTCATGGGTTAAGTGTAATCTAACAAAACATAATACGTCATACAATAGAGATCCTGTCACATTGAAGCTAAAATGGATGACATTACATTATACGTTAATGTTTACGTACTCACTTAATTTTGTCTCTTAAAATGTATCTTTCTCAAAATAAATAAATTAATAAAATTACATTTTTATTTTTTGTAGTTAACTTGTATATATGTAATGATATAGAAATTTTAATAAGGGGACACTCTATAAGATTTAATTGCAAGAACACACTTTTTTTTCTTTCCCGTAATGTTGATCTTTTGTGCCTTCAAGTATTCGTCTTCACCCACCCATACTCTTTCATTGTCTACGTTAATCTAATAACTTGTATGAGAAAAAAATAAGCATTTTCAAAAAGAATGCTTAATTTGTCAAATGAGAAAATAGAAGGTAAAGGATTCAAATTAAGTATACTGTGTGCAGACTCAATTTTATCCTGTGAAATTCTTGTTCGGCAAAATGGAAGAAATGACACAAAACCGAATTTGGTACCATGTATTAACCCTCTTTATCTGCCATTCATAACCCAAATTAGTAAATAAAAATGCCAGAAACTCTGTTAAACCAAACTGAATGGTATACTTTCTATAACCGCATTCGCGGTTTGCGGTTTGGTTTTGAGTAAAAGCCACACCAAACCACACCCGCAACAATTTCTTGCAATTTTGGTTCTTAATCCATTAGCTTCATATGACTTATTAAGAAGAAAGATATATCCACATGGCTGATCCTTTATTTATGCAACAAATTTCAATTTTGTTTACAATTGTATGAAAAGAGCTGGATTTGTTACCAATATTGGGGTTTAGAATTCTCAAAACAATCAAAGTCCCATAATTCAATCCTAAAGAGAATCATTGTAGGTTGAATAACTACAATGAGGAGAGTAATAATCTAAGTCAGAAGCCACATAGCCTATAGCCTCTTCAAGTGTCATCTGCATAGAAATTAAAGCCACATACACCTTTTATATCCACAAAACTTATAAAAAAAGAAGAGACTAAAATTTTTAAAAAAATTAGGTTATTGAGAGACGTACTCTGTGAGGAGGTGACAATTCAGACTTGGAACTTTGCTTTCGATATAGTCTCCAAGGTTAATAGACTGTAAAATATCACATACAACACTAAAGTTAGATATAAATCAGTGGCAACATGGTCATTTTACATGCAAAATCAAAATATTACCAATAGTATCAAAACTCTATTCCATGGGAATAATTCCTTCAGTGGAAAGAATTCCATGAGATGGGAGAAACCCAAAGATTCCACAGTATGATCCAGGAACTCTTACACCTCCACCTGGGTCAGTCTCTACACATATAGACAAAAATGTCAAGATGGTCAATTACTCTCGTTTCATTTACTCCAAAAAAGAACATTCCCTGTAAACTCACCTAAAGAGAAATCAGCAAGGTTGGCACCAACTGTTACAGCAAAACCACCTGAACTCCTGAAGATAAGCCAGGAACACGATCTGGTGCACATGGATTAAGGGGTGTACCATAATGTATATTTTCTCCATTTATGCGGCCGAAAACTCTAATTTTAAGATTCTTTTCTATTTCATGTAAATTGGACAGATATTATTATGGATGAAATGATGTATTATTGTATCATGTATCTAACCTGTAACCCATTTCATCAATGAAAGGTCTTCCAATACACGTGGCACCTACACTCAACATGGGTCAAAACAGCAGGAGATGTGGAGGTTGCAGCAAAATGGGTGTTCAACGAATCTGGATTCCCAAATCCACTCACGTATCCATCCATGTCAAATCTGATTTGCAGTTCAAAAATCACTAAATTGTATCATGTAAACAGGTGAGCCACCGTATCAGTAAACAATTCTATATAATAAGTACATTAATAGATACCAAGAGAGGTTCAAAGTCAGCGACCATGAGGGAAGGATCAAGAGAAACTCACATGTCTTTGACAGCAAAAGTGACGCGGCTGAAGGCGAGCTGCGCCGGAGAAGTTGTTGGCAACGGCGGGAGAATGAATTTCTCCATGAACGCTCCGTAATTGGAGGTCACTGCCATATTATCGTCCGTGTATGCGTCACTTTTCAGCTGCAGAAGATAAAACAGAGGATTAGGGTTAGAAAACTCAAAGCGTGTCTCTTAAAAGTCGATACACTCAATAAGGGTGAGGGTTTATGTTGGGTAATAGAACGGTTGCAGATGGGATTCACAATAAAGAAGGAAACCAGCTGGTGATGGGTCGAAGTTAATGATCGGGATGTGTATCGCAGTAAAACACAAAAGTAAAAGGAAAACAACGTGTGAAAGTTAATGAAAAAACTCTCTAATGTAATACACGAGAGTTACGATGATATATATAGGTAAATAAGTTACAAGAACACCCCTCTAACTAATAAATAACATACATGAACACCCTCTAACTAATGAATAAATACATAATGGTACAAGAACTATATTTGTCTAATATCCCCCTTCAAGCGAATCGGTGGCGGTCCAAGGCGAAGCATGTGACGAAAATGTTCAAACTGTTGTCGTGGAAGACTCTTAGTAAAAATGTACGCTACCTGAAGCTTGGTAGGAACAAACATGGTAACGAGTTTCCCAGATACAACAAGCTCACGAACAAAATGGTAGTCAAGATCGATATTTTTGGCGCGCTTATGAGACACTGGGTTTTGTGTGAGAAATAGGGCACTCTGATTATCACACAAGATGGTCGGACGGCCAGTGGGAAGAAAGTGAAGCTCACACAACAAGTGAGTAATCCATATGAGTTCAGCAGCAGTGTTAGCCATGGCTCGATATTCAGATTCACAGCTGGAGCGAGAGACCGTAGGCTGCTTTTTGGCGCTCCAGGATACAAGATTACCCCCCAGGAAGATCGAGTACCCATAGGTGGACCGGCGTGTATCCAAACAACGAGCCCAATCCTCATCAGAATAACCAACAAGGTTCGTAGATGTTGGTCTCGAAAAAGTAAGACCATAAGAGAGGGTGCCCTTAACATATCGGATAAGCCGCTTGACCGCCTGATAGTGATCAATAGTAGGAGCCTGAAGAAACTGGTTAACCTGATTAACAGCATAAGAAATATCAGGACGGGTGATGGTCAAATATTGCAAAGCCCCAACAAGAGAACGATAATGGGTCGGATCCTCATAAGGTGTACCAGATGCTACAAAAGAGACACTCGGGGATAAAGGGGTCGCCACGGGCTTCGACTCAAGTAGGCCAGCACGGGAAACAATAGCATGAGCATACTTGGACTGACTAAGAAACAACCTGGACGAAAGACGCTTGGCTTCCAAACCGAGAAAGTAGTTGAGGTGACCGAGATCCTTGATCTTGAATTCGGTGTGAAGCTTGGAGATAAAATAGCGAATAACAGCCGAGTCGGAGCCTGTTAGGATAAGGTCATCTACATATACGAGTAAGTATAAAAGACAAGCACCACGTTGAAACACAAACAAAGAGGGATCCGCACGACTGCAAGTGAACCCATTTGCCACAAGAAAGGAGCTCAAGCGATGAAACCATGCCCTAGGAGCTTGTTTGAGGCCATAAATGGCCTTGTTGAGCTTGCAAACATGATTAGGGTAACGAGGATCCTCGAACCCGGGTGGTTGCCGCATATACACCATATCGGACAAGTGGCCATGAAGAAAGGCGTTGTTGACATCAAGCTGGTGGAGCGGCCAGTTATGAATAACAACAATAGTCAAGACAACCCGGACGGTTGCCGCCTTCACTACCGGGCTAAAAGTATGAGAAAAATCGAGACCAGGAATTTGACTAAAACCTTGAGCAACAAGGCGTGCTTTATGTCGATCAATAGAGCCATCGGCGAAGTACTTGGTCCGAAAAATCCAACGACACCCCACCACATTCGTGTTACCAGGACGGGGAACCAAAGACCAAGTGTGATTCTGTGAAAGTGCATGCATTTCGGAGCGCATGGCGTCAACCCATTTGGAATCTCTGAGAGCCTCAACATGCGTTGTCGGGTCAACAGAGGAAAATAGAGCAGCATAAAGTCCACCATCAGATGTATGAGAAAGGTCCGCCCAATGCCTTGGTTTAAAAATCCCAGATTTTGCTCGAGTGGTCATGCGGTGCCCGATAGGAGCAACAGGAGTCGGGGTCGATGGAGTAGAGGGCGAGGGGGTAGCAACCTCAACATCGGGTAGTGACGGATCCGAATCAGAACCCGATGCAGGTTCGGTGTCAGAGCCGTGATCAGAGTCCGAGGTAGCGGAAGAGGAGTCTGAGGCATACACTGTAGAAGCAGGATCAGGTTGGGGGGGGGGGGGCTCGATTGGGGATGACGGCATGGGAGGATCATCGCATACAGTAGATGGAGCTGGAGGCGAGGCCGGTGAAGCGGGTTTTGAGACAGCAACGGGCACGGACACACACGGAAAATCATCCAAAAAGGAGTGAAGTGGTAAATCAACGATTGCGGTGTGCGTGGCAGCGGTGTCAAAAGGAAAACACAACTCATCAAACCGAGCATGGCGTGTGATGTAGATGCGCGAGGATCTAGGATCAAGACATAAGTAACCTTTGTATTGGGAGTGATATCCAAGAAAAACGCAGGGAATGCTCCGTGGAGACAATTTATGAGCCGAATAATCCCGCAAATAAGGGTAGACCCGGCACCCGAACGGGCGAAAATTATCATAAGGTGGCACCCGACCAAACAACATCTCAAAAGGAGAACGATAGCCAAGAACTTTTGAAGGCAAGCGATTAATAATATACACCGCGGTGCTAAAGGCATGAACCCAATAAGAGGCGGGTATGTGACCATGAAACATCATGGCAAGGCCTGTTTCAATTATATGTCGATGCTTGCGTTCGGCTCGTCCGTTTTGTTGCGGGGTGTACGGACACGAAATCTGATGAAAAATGCCACGCGAGTTTAATAAGCCCTTCACACGGTAGTTTAAAATTTTCGTACCCCCATCACTTTGAAAACTTTAAGCTTGGTGGAAAATTGATTTTCCACAAAAGTGAGAAATGAGATGAAAACATCATAAAATTATGATTTGGCCTTGAGTGGATCCAACCATGTAAAGCGCGAATAATCGTCCACAAAAGAGACATAGTAGCAATATGAATTAACCGACGAAACGGGCGACGGCCCCCATAAATCACAATGCACCAAATCCAATATATGTAAAGCACGCTTAGTATTATTAGAAAAAGGCAAGTGACGAGACTTAGGAAGTTCACAAGGAGAGCAAATATTTGGTTTTGGCAACACACTAGAAACAAATAAAAGTCCAAGTTTATTTAACATAGAAATAGTGTCAAAAAACACATGTCCCAATCTGGAGTGCCAAAGTTCAAAAGAGGCACGCGGCTTTGATCCGGCAAAAAACGCATAAGCTTTAGGAGAAGTGGCTAGAACATAGAGCCCATGATCACATTTTCCTTGTGCTAGGACCTGCTTTGTTGTTCGATCCTGAATGAAAAACGAAGAAGCAGAAAAAAGAACATCACAGGATTGTCACGCGTTAGTTTACTAATGGATAATAAATTTTTGGTGAGGCGGGGAACCACCAAAACATCCCGCAAGTGAATACCATTAGCAATTTTAGAAGAACCAATAGAAGAGATGTTGAGTGTATTACCATTTCCAAATGGACCGAAGAGTCACCACTATACGGCTCGACATTAGACATCGATCCGATGGAAGACACCATGTGATCGGAGGCACCAGAATCAACAAACCAATCTGGGTCGGAAGGAGTAAGTTGACACTTGGCTAAAAAAGCTTTGGCGAGATCAACATCACGCATGGGTGAAGGGGACGCAAAAGATTGAAGTTGAGGGCACTGGTTCACGTAGTGGCCATTTTGGCGACAAAGTTGACAATGAGGCGGTCGGTGTCCATGACCGCAACCACCACGAAACAAGCGACCAGCCCGACCCCGACCACCATTCGAACCCGAGGAGGGAGTGGCGTCGGCAGAAAAAGCAACCGAGGGAGTGGTGTCTCCGTGAATGGATTTGAGAAAAATTTCATGACCCTCGGCCCTAGCCAACAAGTCACGAAACCCAAAAACAGCCCCGGAAGCACGGATGGCGGTGGAAAATTCTCAAACGAGGCACCGAGACCGCAAAGAAACCAATGGGTTTTGTCAGTTTCCTCCACCCCTTGACCAATGGCGGCAAGTTGATCACAAACGGACTTGAATTTTCGGCCAAATTCTGAAACGGTGGAGGAACCCTTTGTAAGATGGCGTAGTTGATCACAGAGATTTTGGGCACGCTCTAAGGAGGAGTTGCCATAGGCGGCTTCAAGGGCTACCCAAATGTCACGAGCTGTTGAGAGGCCCACAATCTCAGGATAGCTTCTTCTGTGAGAGAAGCTTGAAGAAGAATAACAGCCCTTTGATCGGTGGAGACCCACTCTGCCAAGGCCGGATTCAAGGTCGGCTTGTTATCAACCAAAATGGAGGGTGGTGGGGACGGAACGGAGCCGTCAACATGACCAAGAATTTGCTGGTATTGTAAAAGAGGGATCATTTGATTCTTCCACAGAAGGTAATTTGATGAAGAAAGGTGAATGGTGATGAGATGCAAAATGGTGTGCATAGAGAGAGAGAGAGAGAGAGAGAGAGAGAGAGAAAGCATTAGAGTCGGACATGATGATGAAGCTGAAGGGTGAGGAAAGCTGATGGGTGGGAGAGGAAGAAGAAGGGAGAGACGGTTCTAGAGGGAGGGAAAAAGAAGGTTGGGAGTTACAGGGCTCTCTGATACCATGTGAAAGTTAATGAAAAAAATTCTCTAATGTAATACAAGAACAACCCTCTAACTAATAAATAACTTACATGAACACCCCTCTAACTAATGAATAAATACATAATGGTACAAGAACTATATTTGTCTAATAGAACGAAGCAGAACCGAAATCAGCGATAGATGGTGATTGATGAAGTGATGAATAAAGAATTGGCAACAAACCTGTAGAAGCATGGAGAACAGGTGTGACGTCCCGTAACCTAACATTCATTGTTGCTGGCACCTTTAGCTTTGAAAGCCCTAAAATCCCAAAACGATCCACAGTGGATCCAACGATGGAACATAGAAGACGTAGACGAAAGCAGTTGAAGGCGGTGGAAGCAAGTGTGTAAGCATTCGATTACAGACCATAATCGGTGGAAGAGACGTATTTCAAAGATGAGTCGCAATACCGAGAAAGAAGAATCGAGAAGGGATGGAGACCAGTCAGACCACGGTAGATGAACAACACGTGTGTAAAGAATGTATATAATTTCATAAAATGCCCGCTTACAAAAAACGAACCGAAATTGCAGCCAAACCCATAAATAGAGGTCCATTTCTGCCAACCCCTTACGAACTTAACTTTAATATATATATATATATTATATATATATATATATATATATATATATATATATATATATATATATATATATATATATACTAGTAGGCTACCCGTGCGATACGGCGGCGCTAGATAATTCCTTTCGGGCGTCAGTTTTCATCAGACAATTAGTTTCATTTTCATGTTAGTTCATTTCAGTCTCTTAGCGTATTCTTTTGTGTATAATTCCTTTCAGTGAATAGTTTCTAGCCAGGTACGTAGATGCAAGAATGGAATAGTTTTTATCCGGCGTTATCTATTTCTATGGTTTTTATTTTACGCATAATTGCTAGGGATGTCCGGATGTGTATAAAGTTAATAAAAAAAATGATATGTTTTTGAAAACGGACAATGACGGCTTTTTTTCAAGCATATTGTTCCGGATAATGTCTTTTTGAATGATACCAAGTATTTTGCATCACATTTTAAACATTATAATATACACTCAGGTACCCATACAATGCGACAGACGATGGATACGATGGCACTGGAAAGATTCTTTTCATAAACGGGTTCCTTTTATTGGTTATTTTTTAAAAAATATAAGGATAAAATGCTAATTAATTTGATTTTAATTAGTTGTATTTGTTAAGTATTTTACAAAAAACACAAATTTATCGAAATGTAATAAAAGTTCAAGCAAATAAAGTTTTTTTAGTTATATTTATTAGCAACCGGTTATATATAAATAGGTCATAAATGATGATTGTGAAATTGATATCCATATTTTTCATCAATTCGTTATGAATATTTTATTATTATTATTATTATTATTATTATTATTATTATTATAATGAGATCACGCATGAGCTCCCCATAAATATGGTTTTTAAATAGCAATTTTCTTCCTTTTAAAAAAAATATTAACTGATATAAGATAATTCTTCATTTAAAAATTATAAAAATCAAATTTTATCTTTTAATTAATATGGAAACTTTCCTACATCTAAAAAAAATAAATTGTTTATTCTATGTAAATTAAAAAATTCATAAGGCATATTTAATGTGTAATATATCAAATTTTCTAAGTTTCTATATTTGATTGTTTATTATCATTTTTATATATTTTTATATATGTATGTTTCCTTAATTCGCGGTATCCTGTCAAGTTTGCAAAAGAGTTTGAAGAATTTTGGTTTCAATTTAATGCCCTTTAGGATTAAAAAAGTCTATGCATTTCATAGTAATGTATTCTTAAATAATTATAAAATCACAACAAACTTTAAAAATAAAGAAATATTTTAGTATGACTGAAGCTCCGAAAGAATAAATATATACAATGACATTAATGCCAACAGAATCATGAATTCCCAGCACAATAAGATTGACTTGCCCAGCACCAGAAGAAGCTAAAACCAAAAAAATGACATCAGTCAGCCAAATTAAAAGCCAAAAAATATGAATGTGCGTACATTGTCATTACTGCATTCAACCTGTTATATTACTTTCATTCTATTTTTCTTTTATTTTTATTTATTTCTTTCCTCTCTCGCCATCTTTTCTTGAAATCATCAGTTGTCGTCTTGTGGTTATCTGCAAGTTAATATTTACATATCAACATATCTATATCTTGATGTTAATAGGCAAATATTCTTGATGTGATATCATGAATTGTGATTTAAAGGCTTCGAACAAATAAGGATAAAAGGAAGCCATGTGTAACAATTTACGAACTTAGACAGATAAGGATAAAGTAAAGTGCGCTATCTCTAAGCCTCTTTAGTCCTTTGTCATCTAGATCATCACACTATTAAAAAGGACAAATAAACCCTTATCTCCTTTATAGGGACTCAAAAAGTCAAAAATATTCATTTTGGACGGTCTGCAATTGGGGGAAATGATCATAAAGTGTGAGAGTTTTGGGTTAATCACCCGAGGCCATGGTTTATGACTTTACCATTTCCACTCGTTATTCATTGACCTAAGCAGAAAAGT